CTACATTGATGTCGATCGTATGACTCACTAAAATAGTAGAGAATAATAGAATGATGACACGTAGATCATAAACATAAAATTAATTAAAAGCGGGTGCACAAAACGGCCAATTTTATTAAAATTTGACAAAATTACAACTTGGGTAAAATACACTATGACACCAAATATCTGGATAATGAAAGGTCAAATTTATAAACAAAGAAAAAGAGACAAAATCATGAGCCGACTAATGTTAGACCATCACTAAAAACCTGGAAGCACGGAATTGTCATTTCATCCCAGTTTGGGACTCCTCAGCGGTGCGCATCCACGATCATGCACACGGGACTCTGTTATATTAGAACAAAGAATAAATGAATGGTGACTGCTAGGAATTATTTATGGACTATTATTGCATATATTCCTATTCTAAAACTATTAGGTAGCTAATTGATATGTATATTCATATTTCTTTAACCATAAGCTTTCATTTGATCTACTGATCACTATTATACGTCTTACTATTCTTAAGTTATTCCCAATCTATTCGTTACAGTCTCTCACACTCACGGTCACTTTTTTGGCCTAATCTTGCATAATTATTATTTTCTATCTAATGGGATGATGCAACCTAATTTGCTTGTACATAAACTGCGTATGTCTGAAGTACACGATTGATACAATGGCAGCTGAGATTTATATACGGGAATCGAACGCATAGGGGTAGGCGAAATGACTAATCATGACTCGGGGTTGAATGTAGTCTACTTGCATTGGTTTATGTGTCATTTGTTTGGTCAGTAAGCCAGTGTTATGATTGGTGATCTTCTCAGTTGATATAATTCACAGGGCTATAAGAACACACCAGTTTGGAATCGAACAAGACATCATCATTATTGGGTCAATAGTAATTGAATAATCAGTATCAAAATGAAATAAACATGCTGGATACATTTATATATAATGGAAATACTCTGTCTTCTCACATGATATGGATAATGAAATTTATAAAATAAATGCATATGTGCCTACTAAAGTGGAGATATAATTTCCTAATTTAAAATTACAGTAATATAATTACAGAAATTTACTATGTGAGTTATGAACTACTAGAACTGTATTTTAAGTAGTATAATCTTAAGCCAAGGTACTTGTACAAAAAGCTGTTCAAACCATTAGGGTATATATATATACTCTGGAAATAGTATACTTTGATTAATAAACATCGAATTGAGATGATTACACTTTAATAATTTCAATGATATTATAACTAGTGTATTTACATGACCATATTAATATATTGAATTCGACCGGGTCTGTTGTGAGATAGTAACTCACCGAAGACAATGTTGGATGTGTCGCTCAATTTCCTGGATTAGTTGAAATTAGATATTAACACCGTTGGATGTAGGCTTAATGGTCTAGTGGTTAAGCGTTCGCGCGACAGATCGATAGGTCTTGGGTTCGAGTCTCGCGAGTCGGGATCGTGGATGTGCACAGTTGAGGAATACCACATTAGGACAAAACGGCCAATCAGTACTTCCGGATTTTTCATGGTGGTCTAACTTCAATTGACTTATGATCTGTACTATTAAAATTACTATAATATCCACAAAATCCATCTCTGTTATATTGAATTATTTGTTGTCATTGAAGTGTTGAAAACAAAATGAACACAATTCGTGCAGAATTCTAGCATGACATTTTGTTGATATAATATAAATTTCACATTGTAACATCGTTTATAAAATTATTGAAATGCTTAATTGATTAGTTCTTTTAAGTGAAATGGTTTTCTATTGGTCACATTATTCTGTAGATGTTATTTGTCGCAGAACGATATCAGCTAAGATGTTATTAAATGGTAAAGGGAACTAGAGAGCGATTATGTCACTGTATAGAACTTATCAGAAGTATACACTTACGATAGTATCAAGGATCGAACTCAGGCTCATGTGAGTGCTGAATCTTCATTACATTGAATTGGTATCCGAAGGTTTGTATTTCAAATTTAATCAGTTCTTCATATAACTTGAACATCATTCGTCACGTTTAATGATACTGTTGTGAAAGCCGGTGTTTTTATAATCCACCAGTCACGACTTTCGACTAGAAGTGCTCTTGATGTAAGTTATGAGTGAGCTGATGCTTACTACAATACAGATCAACTGATTGTCAATGATACCTTAATTAAGATTAATCCATGACATATACTAACCAAGGAGAATGATGTTGTAAACATAACTTATGAAAAAAAGAGAATGGAACTGGATTATCGAAAAAGCTTTCACCATAGATATGTAGAGATTATTGAATTTTAGTGAGAAGATGAATCTATCTAACGTTGTCTGATACCAACTTAGAGGTCTAGGGGTTAAGCGTTCTTTCGTGATCGAAGTTTCTGAGTTCAAGTCCCATGTGCAAGATAGAGGATGCGCACTACTGAGGAGTACAATACAAGAACGAAACGGCCGTCCAGTTCTTCTAGGTTTTCGGTGGGGGCCTAATATTGATCGGTTCATGATTTTAATGAAGTGTAAAAAAATTAAAATTTATTCTTTTAAATAGTCATTATGATGAAATTCGAATCATCCTTGTCTTTTAAACTTCCTATCAAAATAATTTACTAGTATAGAAAGTTTTTAGATGACGCCAAATACTCATAACTTACATCACGACCTACCAGTGACAAACCATGATAAGTGGAGTTCAACCGTATCGGGTGTAGGACAATTATTCACAACAAGCAATGGTAGTTGGTCACATAATATTGAGTACCGCTTGAATTTGGAGAAGCGATCAGTGAATGCTGAATCAGTTGTCCATCGGTTTATGCTCTGGCCACAGAACTAGAGGCTATAATTGTTTACCATCGAGGATTTCCAAACTTGAATGAAACAGTTTTCCAATGCCACCTGGTTTTCACTGGTGGTCTAACTGAGATCAGTTCATGATTTAAACTATGAAAATTAATTAATTTTTAAGCCGAAAATTGTATTCATGTTTTTCTCAATTCCAACCTTATGTAATTAAATCTAATGAATAGAATAACAAGCTCTTCGATTTTATATATTCCATTTAGCTAATCTTATTTATTATGAATTAACTTAATTACTTAGGCCTGTTACTCCAAATCGAGCATAGATCACCGACTAGCATTCTCAAACCCACTCAATCCTGGGCCTGCCTTTCTAGTTCTATTCGATTGTTGTTCATCCTTTTCATATCCATCTCCATTTATCGGTGTATTATGTTCTTTGGTCTTTCTCTTCTCCTTTGGCCCGAAGGATCTCAAGTGAGGGCTTGTCTTGTGACGTAATAAGTTGCTTTCTTCAATATGTGTCCTATCCACTTCCAGAGCTTCATCCTGATTTCTTCCTCCGCTGGAACTTGGTTTGTCCTTTTCCACAGTAGGTTGTTGCTTATAGTGTTTGGTCAACGGAATCGAAGTATTTAAAGAAAATCATTCTGAAACCATAGTTTAACAACGGTGTTATTTATGAGAGATTGACACAATTGACTTGAAAATTCATAACAAAAACGTTCACAATAGTTAAACGAAATATAGTATTTTACATTTGTCTAGTAGTAATAAACTCAAATATAGACTTTCTGGATTTGTCACATCTAGTATTATGTTTCAATTAAACTGTTATTGTTGAATCATGTTAAATAGGGGGTATGATCTGTCAAATAGGTCGTAGTACCTCTCAACACCATTTTGCTTGACCGCTCTAAAATGATAAATCTGCTAAATTAAGGACAGAATGTTTAGTATAGTTTTCTGAGTTATTCGACTTAACCCTGTAACCTTACTGTGTAGTTTATGTGTTTTTCTTCGGAATTCATATTTAGAAACGGGAACTTTTTGTTGTAAAGAAATTTCTATCATTTCTCGTCCAGCCACGGTTGTCAATACAAAGAGTGGACCACAGTTGATTAAGATAAAATTACGACAGTTATAAATAACTTCAGTCAATTAATCTACTCTTTCTTAATGAAGATAGAACTGATCTGGCGGTACCGAGTAATTTTAGGGGTAACCTTGAGTCAAACAAATCAAAAGTTGGCTAATCAGAATGAAGATTTTGTAAATGCCAAGGTGAAATTACAAAGAATGTAAACTTTTTTGATATTGACATCGTAAATCTATTTTCCCAAACTTTGTACTTTTAACACTTAAACTCTTAAAGCAACCTTATCTCATTACTTTGTGCCTTCTCTAGATGTCGTTTCATGACCAGTCATAATCATAAAATTTTATCAACAGTCCAACACCCTGTTGAAGATCATTAATCATCATCCTCATCCTTACTTACATAATTACTTACGCCTCTTACTTCTCGTGGAGAAACATAAGCCACCTACCAGCACTCGTCATCCAACCTTGTCCTGGGAAATCCTTTCCAGTTGTTATTCATCCTTTTCATATATGCTTCTATTTCCTGACGCAGTGTATACTTTGGCCTTCCTCATTTCCTCTCCCCTTTCGGATTCCAAGTTAGGGCTTGTCTCGTGACGCAGTTTGATGATTTGCGTATTGTATGTCCTACATATTTCCATCGTCTTTTCCTAATTTCCTCTTCAGCTGAAAGTTGGTTTGTTCTCTCCCACAGTAGGATGTTGCTGATGGTATCCGGCCAATGGATATTGTGTATCTTGCGTAAAAAATTATTTATAAATACTTGTGTATTCTTGATAAAGATTGTAGTAGTTCTCTAAGATTCAGCTCCGTACAGTAGGACTATCTTGACATTCGTTCGCCGGTGACCATACCATGTTGAAAGCACCGGTTATCAACATCATCATCATCATCATCATCATCATCATCATCATCATCATCATCATCATCATCATCATCATCATCATCATCATCATCATCATCATCATCATCATCATCATCATCATCATCATCATCATCATCATCATCATCATCATCATCATCATCATCATCATCATCATCATCATCATCATCATCATCATCATCATCATCATCATCATCATCATCATCATCATCATCATCACATCATCATCATCATCATCATCCCATCATCATCATCATCATCATCATCATCATCATCATCATCATCATCATCATCATCATCATCATCATCATCATCATCATCATCATCATCATCATCATCATCATCATCATCATCATCATCATCATCATCATCATCATCATCATCATCATCATCATCATCATCATCATCATCATCATCATCATCATCATCATCATCATCATCCATCATCATCATCATCATCCACATCATCATCATCATCATCATCATCATCATCATCATCATCATCATCATCATCATCATCATCATCATCATCATCATCATCATCATCATCATCATCATCATCATCATCATCATCATCATCATCATCATCATCATCATCATCATCATCATCATCATCATCATCATCATCATCATCATCATCATCATCATCATCATCATCATCATCATCATCATCATCATCATCATCATCATCATCATCATCATCATCATCATCATCATCATCATCATCATCATCATCATCATCATCATCATCATCATCATCATCATCATCATCATCATCATCATCATCATCATCATCATCATCATCATCATCATCATCATCATCATCATCATCATCATCATCATCATCATCATCATCATCATCATCATCATCATCATCATCATCATCATCATCATCATCATCATCATCATCATCATCATCATCATCATCATCATCATCATCATCATCACATCATCATCATCATCATCATCCTCATCATCATCATCATCATCATCATCATCATCATCATCATCATCATCATCATCATCATCATCATCATCATCATCATCATCATCATCATCATCATCATCATCATCATCATCATCATCATCATCATCATCATCATCATCATCATCATCATCATCATCATCATCATCATCATCATCATCATCATCATCATCATCATCATCAATCATCATCATCATCATCATCATCATCATCATCATCATCATCATCATCATCATCATCATCATCATCATCATCATCATCATCATCATCATCATCATCATCATCATCATCATCATCATCATCATCATCATCATCATCATCATCATCATCATCATCATCATCATCATCATCATCATCATCATCATCATCATCATCATCATCATCATCATCATCATCATCATCATCATCATCATCATCATCATCATCATCATCATCATCATCATCATCATCATCATCATCCCATCATCATCATCATCATCATCATCATCATCATCATCATCATCATCATCATCATCATCATCATCATCATCATCATCATCATCATCATCATCATCATCATCATCATCATCATCATCATCATCATCATCATCATCATCATCATCATCATCATCATCATCATCATCATCATCATCATCATCATCATCATCATCATCATCATCATCATCATCATCATCATCATCATCATCATCATCATCATCATCATCATCATCATCATCATCATCATCATCATCATCATCATCATCATCATCATCATCATCATCATCATCATCATCATCATCATCATCATCATCATCATCATCATCATCATCATCATCATCATCATCATCATCATCATCATCATCATCATCATCATCATCATCATCATCATCATCATCATCATCATCATCATCATCATCATCATCATCATCATCATCATCATCATCATCATCATCATCATCATCATCATCATCATCATCATCATCATCATCATCATCATCATCATCATCATCATCATCATCATCATCATCATCATCATCATCATCATCATCATCATCATCATCATCATCATCATCATCATCATCATCATCATCATCATCATCATCATCATCATCATCATCATCATCATCATCATCATCATCATCATCATCATCATCATCATCATCATCATCATCATCATCATCATCATCATCATCATCATCATCATCATCATCATCATCATCATCATCATCATCATCATCATCATCATCATCATCATCATCATCATCATCATCATCATCATCATCATCATCATCATCATCATCATCATCATCATCATCATCATCATCATCATCATCATCATCATCATCATCATCATCATCATCATCATCATCATCATCATCATCATCATCATCATCATCATCATCATCATCATCATCATCATCATCATCATCATCATCATCATCATCATCATCATCATCATCATCATCATCATCATCATCATCATCATCATCATCATCATCATCATCATCATCATCATCATCATCATCATCATCATCATCATCATCATCATCATCATCATCATCATCA